AATATGGTGGACGCTGAAGGGGGGGGGGCTGAGACCAGAGCAGAGCGCCGCTCAATTCCTGGAGCTCAGGAGGAAATTCGCTCATTCGCTTCGCGCTCACCTTCATTTTCCTTCCGCTCCACTGAAATCGCTCCACGCTCACACAGATTTTCAGGAGAAGATTTTCTGACATTTTTCCTTCCTGTAATGATGTCACGGCGCTGCGACACACGGCGTTTGATTTAATGATGTGACCGATTCATGTGGATCGTTTTATTTAACTGGCTGTTAAATGATGGCAGCTGTGAACGTAACACCTCGCTCCTTCATGTTGTTTCCTGTTTAATTATTCATTTATTTTAAAAAGGTCACTCTGAGTTCCATTGCAAATTAGTTAATACCGAATGATGCATGTATGCAATCCATTTTCAAAAACAGGCCCTAACCCACTCTGCATTAAGTATAGATAGTTAATGTTTTCACCATATTTTATCCCACTTTTTATCAAGCAATATGCAATCCTCATGTCTGCGATTCTGTGGTAAAGTTGAAACATAGACTTAGATAAATGTTATAATCCAACTTTTTAAATGACATTGTGAGCGCATCGGAGCGAACTGACCTTTGAATTGAAAACCACATATTTCTTCTGCTCCGCTCACATGCTCTGGCTGAGACACACTTAATATTATCAGCGTTCTGATGGCATTTTAGCAAAAGGATTTCTATCAAAAACATAATTAATGTGCAGAAATAAGGAATAGTTGTATTAAGCATACATGGAAACAGAGTTTTATGGGGCCCCCAGGAACATGGGGCCCTAGGCAGCTGCCTGGTATTGCCTAAAGGTAACTCCCCCTCTGAGTGGACCGGCTCGCTTTCATCTCCTGGTTGGTTCCTTGTGAGAAGAAAAGGTTCCCATTCATTCTCCTCAGTTTCTTCCAGTGATTAATTCCACTAGCGGCCCTCAGCACCACAGAAACCAGCCCCTCCCCTTCACAATCAACCCATCACTATAATAGATCAATGTGACACTGATGAAAAGATGAAGGTTCTGTCATCGATTCACTGCTTGGGTTTGATGCTCATATGGGGAAAAAAAGCTGCTGGTCTGGATAAGGTGAAGACACAAACACCCGGAAATCTGATGGATCTAAACAGTCCATTAACGGGGTCCCTGGGGGCCACAAGGGAGGAGGGGGCGATGATGAAGAGGAGGAAGGAGGAGGAGGATGGAGGCATGGGTGTTTCCGATTGTTAACATACCAACGGTGAGATAAAGAGCCTGCAGCAGAGCAGGCTGACACTCTGCCCCCTACAGGCAAAGAGCTGCAGCTGCAGAAAGTGCATGGAGCTTTCAGCAAATAACTCTGAAAGCAAAACAATGTTTATTCATTGAAAAGGTTCATTGTGCTGCTTGTAGAAAAGGCCAACAGAGACAAACAGCCCTGCTGAACGTTATTAACATTCAGTCCATGAAGATGAAAACAGCCCTGAAGGTGTTTTATTGTTAGCAAGCTGGTGGAGATTCTCAGTCATCCAGGTCAGAGTCATTCCCAAAAAACGTTCAAAACAATCCGCTGGACTGAAGACGTTTCACTTCCCATCCAGGAAGCTTTTTCAATTCAAAATGTCAGAAATAGCGTTTAGTTCCAGGTTTTATAGAAAACAAGGCGTCGTTGGGCTGCTGTATGAAGCCTCCAACATCCAGGAAACTCAGAGCTTCCTGGAAGCGAAACGTCTTCAGACTTGGAAACAAAGATCAGTGGATTGTTTTTTAACCTTTTTGGACAGTTAGCATGTTGTGTTTTTAGGCTTCTGGTTTCATTCTTCCTTACATCGCAGCCAAACTTCTTATTTTATCATTTTTTTATCCACCAATTTACAACAAAATATGGCTTTACCTGATGGTCTTAAGGGTTTATTTCATCTATAAAGGTCATTTTCTAATGTAAACACAGATAATTCAGCTGCTTTCTATTGTTTTTGGTTCAATATTTCTACATTTCTAAAGTAAACCTCTTCATATTACTTATTTACCTTTATTTTAAACATTAAGCAACAAATATATACATTTTTCCTTCAAAAGCTAAAGCTCCATTATAGGATAAGCAGATTTTTACAAAAATCATAAAAATAAAGGACTTCCTGCACTGGAAAAAATCGAAATCTAAATAAGTAATTTTTTCTTAAAATAAGTGCATTAGTTCTTGGATTGAGGAGGTAAAAGAGATTTTGCAAATGGAAGCAGAAACATTTACATTTGAAATAAGAAAACACCATTTTATTGTCTTATTTAAAGTGCATATTATCTAATTATCTTATTTTAAGAGTAAATATCTTATTTACCCACTGAAATAAGATTTTTTTCCTATTTCTATATTGTTTTTCCAGCATGTCCACTCCTTGATTAGGTTTATTTTTTAAGCATAATTTGATGTAATCTGGTTCTAATCTGACCTGTAAAAGTTCAAACGTATTAATATTTTGGGTCCAAACAGGAACCAGAACCAATCAAACAAATACTGAAGTGATTTGAGTCTTTTAAAGATCATTTTTTAAAGATTTATGTCTCATCCTCTTCTCATTGGCAGATTATCTTGTTTACCTGCTCAAATTAAGGGTAAATACACTTAATTTAAGATCGTTTTAAATCGTTTTTGCAGTGTGGTGATCTTTGACTAACTGCAGTAAATCTGTAATGGTTCAGTACACTGCAAAAAATTAAATCTAAGGAATTTATTTCTTTCTTAAATTGAGGAGGTAAGTGAGACACTTTTTCAATGGAACAAGACAATTTACATTTAAAATAAGAATTAAAAAACAGTTACATTGTCTTATTTTAAGAGTAAAAATACCCATTC